AGCCAGCATGGCTGGCTGGGGAATTCTGGGAGTTGAAGTCCACTCATCTTAAAGTGGCCAAGTTTGGACAACACTGCTCTAGGTGATAGCACCTGGGCGCCCAATGGGGATCAAGTGATATCACCACATCATGAGGTGCAGCAGTTGCACAATAACGTCATGATGTGCCACGACATCATCAAAGCTTCTGCCAGACACCAACGGCCGAAGTAGAAAGGCACGACCTAGACCATCCCCAAGTGAAACATTACTTCCCTTGAACGCAGATATCTGAGCCATACAGGGCTTCATGTTTAAAGAACTGAATGGTTGCATTCATACACTCTTAACCTGGTAACGGAATGAACCCCCTTTTCTAGGTTTGTATATAGATTGAACCATGAACTGATGTTAACAAGCTGGTTTGCACAACACACTTGGCTGAAAAAATTCTGACCAAAGGAAGCAATAATCTTTGGCATCTCTTAGGCCTCCAAATCACCTAGTAAACATTGTGTGAACATCATCATTTAATGCTGACCTCCCTTAGGAAGCCATTGTGAGGGTTGGGAAGTAATGCACAGAAAGCGTGTTGGATTGACACCTAAAGCAGAACATCCAGAGTTTATTCCTGCAGTGAGCTCACGAAATAAATCCAAATTGTAGCAAGACCTCTGGAGGTTTGTGACTCTGTAACAAACCTTCTGGCTTATCATGGTTATGTAGTCAGGCAGCTGTTTGTAAACTACAGATTAAAATTTAGTGTGTTGAATGGGAATCTAGCCAGGACCCCTCCAGATAAGTCTGTCCCCCATCTTAACTGACTCGAAAGGCTTCCTTGGCTGCTGGCAGCGTCCCCACATGATGAGAGAAAGCTCGAAGGATTACAGCAATGCCAAATCCAGGACTGTGTGTCACTGGGGTGCTCCAGTTCACATTACAGCTGCAGATGGAAATAGCCTCCCAAAGCTGATATCCTATCTTCCAACAATGTTATGGCCTCCTCCTCCTCCTCCCTTCCCGCTCAAAACAAGCCTCTTTGCTCAGTTTTCAAGGAGAGCAGGTATCCCATTTCGAAAGCGAGGCTGCTGAACCAAGTACTCCTCTTCCAAATGTGGGATCCAGCAAGAGGCACCCTAGACGTGAGGAGGGATACGGCCTTGGTCTTCCAGTGCCCTTAGCTACAGAGGCTCTGCCAAGGACCCCCTGCTTGGTGACAGGTATCCCGTTGCAGGGACGGGAGTGCCATACCTGCCCTAACAAGGAGGTAGGTTCTCACCTGTCGCTCTCTGAGGCGAGAGATGCCAGTGGCCAAACGTCGTACCCTCCTTCGCTTTCCACTTGGCAGCCGCGCAGCATGAACTGATGAATGGAGGCAAAGCCAGGCAGTGGGTATCTTGGACCTTCCGCGCCATCCCATTTCCGGATCTCCTGGTCACTCGGTTCAGTATTTTGGGATGCTACCGGCACAGCCTGGGAATGTGCCCCCCTGGACTCAACTATGGGAAGAAACGGCACCTCTCTGACTTTGGCTTATCTCACAAACAAAAGGAGGCCTGAACCTGGCTAATCCTTGGATGAGAGACCACCAGGAAACAGCACGGCTACAGGATGGACTGGGAAAGGGAAGGGAAGGGAGGAAAGGAAAGGAAAGGAAAACACCCAGGAACGAGCCAATGGCAAACGACGACCATTTCATCGCCAAAACTCTACACGGATCCATCTGTGAAGTCACGGGGGCCAAGCTGACTTGGACGGAGACTTTCTTCCACTCCCTGCCATGCAGAGAGACATACAAAGAAAGCCACTGCCTGAGGCAGTTCTGGCAAGAGAAAAGATCAGCCTCCGCTGCTGCTCCCCCCCAACTGATGAACAGCCATTCCCCACATCAACATTGATGCTTGGGCCTGTTGAGCTTCAACTGTTCTCTTTGTGAAGAGGAAGCAAGGAAGCACTTCGTTCAGTCTTTAAACAAAAAAGATGCTTTAGTACCGGGCCATCTTTGAAACCTAGGTAGGGAAAAAAACCACCAAACACCAAAGATCTAGCCCACTTAAAAGTGGGCAGAGGGATTCTCTTGAGCAAGCACCCCCCCACTGCTTCATTTAAACCCCCCAGGATTCCTTCTGCCTCCTTGAGGAACCAACCTATCAGTGAAGTCCATAAACAAAGGTATCTAGCCTGCCAAGACTATTCCTCATCTCCAGAAGATGACCTAGGGGGAGGAGGAGGTCCCACTTCTTTAATAGCTGACTTGATCTCTCTTCCCCAGACAGATCATGGGAGGAACCCTCTGTTCTCTTCCACCAGCCTGATCCGGGGGATCCCTGGCCAGCCCAGGGTTACCCCAGCAAGAGCTTCTTCAGTGAAAGGCTAGCGTGGTCCACCAGGGTCGTCATCCATTTGGATAGACCGCACACCGATCTTTCCCAATTTGGCACTTGCGCTATGCACCTTAGAATTCCACAGCCACGTTGGCTGGATATTCTCAGAGTTGTAAGCCCAACACATCTCGAGGAAACCCAGCTGAGGACACTGCTGCAGAAGAGCCTAGAAAAAGAATGCAGGAGGACCCTCTACCCATATAAAACTGAGCAAGTTGTATTTTGTTAGCATCAGTTTGGGAGTTACCAAAACATGTCCTGTTCCCTCTTGCTTTGATTGAATGGTATAATTAAGAATGTCAGCCCTTCAAAAATGATTAATCTCTTTTGTTTGGATGACAAAACAAATGCATCTACAGGAATTTGCACGTGGAGAAAATTTTAAAAGCATGCTTTGTCTTTAAAGGGCAAGTATCCTAAAAGACATTTCGGTTTTCACGCCGACAGGATGGAACACAACCCAAGTTTACTTGTTTAAAACCAGAGTTTGTTCGTTTTATATCCATCTATTTCAGCATGTCTTTTTCATCTTTCTTTCTTGGTATCTTCGTTTGGGTTTTATTTTAATTTTTTGCATTTGGCTACCGTTTTCCTTTTTCCAGTTTATAGATTAAAAGTAACTAAAAAAAAAACACCTTCCCTGCCACATCTCTTAATAACCAAGCATTTGAAGAATGCTTGGGAATCATTGGTGGGAAATAGGGCCCGTAAACAAAGTCACATAAGCCGTATCTTTTCACTCTCTGAGCGCAATGCCATTAAAAAAATCATGGAGAGAAGGCCCTGGTAAGTGATGATATTGCAATTAAGTCTGTATCCTGGGCAGCACTTAAGATTCAGAGAAACAGAAGGAAGCACAATGATCAGGGACTGGAAAATAAGGCGTATGTGGAAAACCAAGTCTGCCTGGCCTTGAGAAGAGAAGGAATATCAAAGCATTCTTCAGACAGCTAGAAGAAAGTCAAGATCCGTTCTCTCTCATTCCAGACTGCAGGACTCAAGATTTACAGATTTGATGGAAAGGAGACAGCTCCAATTAACCGTCAGGGAGAACTTCTGAACCATAAGAGCAGTTGGACAGCAGAACCAAGGATCAGAAAGGTGCTGGGCTTCCCTTTCATGGGATGTGATCAAGCAGAGGCTAGGCAGCCATCTGTCAGGGAGAGTTTAATTGGGAATCCTGTACTGACTTAACTCAAGTGGCCCCTTCCAACTCTAGGATTGCATGGGGAAAAAAAAATCTCCTAATTAATTTGGGGAATCATCTTTACTCAGTCTAGGTGTTGTTAATTGATTCAGCAACTAAACAATGCAACAGCAGCAACTAGGGTAATATTTAGCAGAGCTGAACAGCAAACCTAAAACAGCAAGAGGGAAGTGGAAGTAGGTCCCAAGGAAGTGGCAGGGATCCTTGACAATTTCTGTGGTGCCCAAGATGGACACGTTATCTTTCTAAATCAAAGCAGCTGATTTTTCTGCTTCTAAGAAACAGAAGATTCCCTACATCTTTCAGAGTTCACCACAATCCTAGCATGATGGCTCCTATCTTCACAACTGTTTTGCTTCCTATGGTCCCTAAAGTTTGCCCAGGCTGAAACATTCTCCAACTTCAAACCAATCATACCTTATGTCCTCCTTCCCCACCCTAGTGCTCTGTAGAAGCACTGGGACAGTATGTCGGCTGGAGAATTTTGGATACTGTGGTTCCCGCACATCTGAAGCATACCTAATTGAGAAACAGTGCACTACACAGATGAAATTGGAAACCGAATTCAGTTCAGCTGCTTCTTTCGAGTATCAGAAGAGAAGATGGAACGTGGACATTTGGCTCAGGGAACAGCCAAGTTGTCAATGAACAAATCACAGATCCAAGAGTTTCCTCCGCAAGCCTTCATTCTTGGCAGGAACCAAGTCACCAGGTCGTCTCTGGTTGTTGTCCTGCGTATGCCTCAGCTGAGAGTGATGCTCCAAGATGAGCTCACAGAGTTCCTGATGCCCATTCTCTGCCGCCTGGAGGAAGAGAGAAAAACCATCTCAGTGGAGCAAGAGAAGACCCAATCCATGGCCTGTCCCCTTGACCAACTGAGCAATGGAGGAGGTCCAGTGGAGGGGTAAGATGATGGAAGAAGGAAGCAAGGGAAGAATGTCTTAATTTCTACAAGCAACACTCAACCACATATTGGGTACTAGGTGGTGGTTGAGTGTTGCTTGTACCTAAAACTTAGTTCATTTTATCTCAAACCTGTTCAAATACGACTCCAGCTCACTTTCCCAAGGCTCAAAGAGGAAGCTGCCTTGACCCATCTCAGACTATTTGTAAATCTACTTCCAGACGGTTAAACCTGACCAGTTTTTCCAGCATAACCTGGAGGCCAGGAACAGAATCTGGGACCTTCATCTTGTGAAACTCACACCATGAGCTTCCTGTCTTCCCTATCCATTGGGGGAGAGGACAATCTAATATACTGAGCCAAGATCACTGGCTCATCCAATACTCCCTACTGCAGGGATCCCCAAACATTTTTTGTACCAGAGGACAATTTGGGAATTTTGAGACAGTAATGTGAACCTTCTCATAGAAGCTATGCAAATCTGAATCTGAGACAGGATCTGGGAAAGCCAATTTCAACAACACTGCTCACAGCTTCTTCTGTTTCAGGGGTTTCCAATTATTTTGCACTAGTGAGCCATCTGGAATTTTGTTGAGGGCACTCTTGCAAAATGGCAGCTAGTGGGGGCAAGTTAGCCTATTCATGGCCAATCACAAAACACCCATTTAGCAGAAAGCCAACTGGTGTGGATGCTCCCCACCACCCCTTCCAGCCCCACACTAGGCTTCCTACTCCTCTTCCTAAGCTTATCCTTGACTTTTTGAGAACTTGGGGACAGATGAAGCCATTTTCCAAATGTAGGACTTGAACAGCAGCCACCTACCATGTTTTTGGCAGGCCCCAGAGGCATTCTTGGAAATAAAAATGCTGAGATGCTGCTTCAAGGTAGACCAGCACATAATTTACTACATGTAATTTTTTTAAATTAAGAGAGTTTCCTAAAAAGCTTTTCAGAAGTTGGGTGGGCACCAAAAGGAGGTCTGCATGAACACTGGGGATTCTCATGCTTCTATTTATTGTTGGCAGTTGCTTCCCCAAACCATCTTCAGGAAGAAGCTTCCATAGAATTTACTGGAGATGCCTGGGGCAAACTTGGATTCTTCCAAGTCATGCAGAACCCAATTTCGGAGATGGCCTATGACCTACCCTTGCAGCTAAAGCTTTAGGCTGGGCACCCAAGTCTCTTTGCCTTAGAAAAAAGTGGAGTGGTGTGTCACTGCACCATGATGTCTTGTAAAGGGAAGTCACAGGGGCTATTCTGCACACACACACACACACACACACAACCTTGTGCAGGCAGGTCTTTCCATCATCATCCGTGGCAGCTGGATCAGCTCCATGGTCCAGCAGCAGCTTGGCTATTGCTGTGTGACCACAGTAAGCTGCACGATGCAGAGGGGTAGCCCCGCCATGGGTGCAGGCATCGCAGGAGGCTCCGTTCCTCAGAAGGAAATGGCAGATGTCATAATGCCCATTGCGACTCGCATAGTGCTGCAAAAACAGAAAAGGCAACGCTCTGAAAAAGTACTATGTCTGTGTGGCATCTAATCTGGGTGGGTGGTGTACATGTAGATGGGAATTCATTCAATACACCCGAGGTAACTCGAACCTTAATGGCTGAGTGAACCTGTTTTCAGGAGTCACACAGTACTCTGAGTCATAAACGAATCAAACCACAAACTAATAAAATCAGCTGGGTCAGTGTTGTCCAAACTTGGCCACTTTAAGATGAGTGGACTTCAACTCCCAGAATTCCCCAGCCAGCCTG